GTGGCGTCTGAAGAAATCCACTTGCAAGGCCTGGTGGTGATGCAATGGGTGATAGATAGGGTCGTGGAACTGGTTTTGGCTGTGAAGTTTGTAAAATTCCACTTGATAACAAATTGGGAGATGTTATTGAAGATTGATGGGGTGGTGGAACTGGCTGTGGTACAGAAGACTGTAATGATGAGGAAACAGATGAATTTTGTGACAAGGAGATCTGCTGCAAGTTACTGGGCTTGAATGAGGGAATAGGTGACAGTTGCAGTAGTGGGACTGGCAAAGGCAAGATTCCCTGTTGGCAGTCACTGGTTGATCTTGGGGAGATAGTAGTAGGTGATTCCTTTGGTGATGCAACAGAATGTTCCACAGATGCTGTGCCTGAGGTGGGTTTTGATACAGGAGTTTTCACAGGCTGTGAAGTTGGCACAAAAGATGATGCTTGAACCTTAACAGTTGGAAACTTAGTAGGTGACGTAAATGGACAGATTTCAATTGGCTGAGAACTTTCTGAGCACCTTGGTGGTGACGCTGGAGGTGACAGCTGAGCTGCAGGAACCAGCAGAGGTACCCTGCTTTGCTGAAGTTTAAATGAGACTTTTTGAACTGCATTTTTTTGTAACTCTCCAGGTGATTTCACACCTTGAGGTACTCCAGTTTCTAAAACTGACTCTGACAATGAAAGATTAGCTTGACTGTTCATCCCAGTTTGACCTTGAGGAATTATTGACTGTTCCTCAGTTGCTGGAACAGGCTTTGGAGGACTCTGTTCTGTTCCAGAAAGTCTCTGTGATGATGCATGTGGTAACAAATGAGGAAATGTAACCCCCAACTGTACAGAACCCTGGTTCGTGTCTGGTGATCTCTTGGCAGCTGTTGGTATCTGAAGAACAGGTTGAGGGACGGAACTGTACATTGTGCTGGTGGAAGATCCTTCTGATACAATTCTTCGATCAGTTCCTGAACTCATCCAACTTGTATCTTCCTCCAAGCTTATCTTATGCTCCTCATCTTCATCATCCAGATCCATGTCAACCTCTTCATGGTCTGAAAGACAGTCTGAGGTGGATAACCTTATGAAAGAGCTTTCAACTTTCGTCTCGGACTTCAAATCAGTGTCTGAAACACTGGCAGAATTTAGCTCAGATTTAGATTCTGAAGAGGCACTGGGCTTGACAGTCACATCCTTCAATTCAACTTCTTTATAAATCTGCTTAGCCTTTGTAGACTTAATCCTAAGGGTGACTGGCAACTGAATGACTCGTGGTTTTAAGTCAGTACTTTTGATTGGCGACGGTGTTGAGGACTTCGGCAGTGGAATATTCCACACGTCTTGTTGTGTCGGAGCAGAGGAGCCAGATGAGTCATGAGTATTGTTTGGATAGTTTTCATTCAAAGTCTTTTTAGCCTCTGAAACAGGTATTTGTGGTTCCTTTCCACTGGCATTAGGGGGGGGACTGCTTCATCATCACCCTCAAGCTTAGTAGAACTTGCTGATTTGGAACTTTTCTGAAGGAGCTTGGAAGACAGAGGTAATGATTTAACACTTCCTGGTTGCAAACTATCATTCCCAGGTTCAGTGTACACCTCCTCAAAGGAGCTGGAAGTAGAAGGTGATGGCTTAACTACATCTGTCAAAAATGTGGATTTCTTGAGGGGTGTGTACTCTTTTGGGGGCCGTCTCCGTGACTGCTGTACATCATTCCAAAAACTTTTCTTCTGAGCGGAAACTGGAGGTCGAACCAATCTCATGATAGATGAGCCTGAAGTTACACCTTGCAGAAATAGTGACTTCTTACCAGGGGATGGGATTTGAACCAAATCTTTTCCTGGAGATATTGTCTTTTTATGAACCCCTTCAGAATGGACGGTATGTGTTTGGTATGATGAAATCGGGGACTGCTGTAAGGTTGTATTTTCTCCTCCTGGCTTCGAACTTATTGAAAGGGCAGATTTACAATCTGGTTTGAGCACAGTTTGTCCTTGACTCAAACATTGCTTTCTAGGACTGCTATCTTTCAGCTTGGAATCCTGTTCTTTAAGGCTTTCAGCACCTCCAGATAGCTCAACACTGCCAACAGATTTGGCAGATATCTGGAGACTTTGTGTTGCCTCAACTAAGCTTGTTGAGTGCACACTGTCCTTGTCCGCAGTCAATTTAGCCTCAAGAATCGATCGCCAAGCAGCTGCCTTCCTTCGTTCCTGTTCCTTCCTTAATGTTCTATCTCTTGCATACATCTTTGACCTGTAATTGAATCGGTCATAAAACTGTATCTTGCTCCTAGCCACAGACACAGATCGACTTCTGCTTCTGCGTGAATCTGACAATGAGCTAAACACATGTCGTCCATACCCAAACTGCACTTTGGGCAAGGTCTGTCTCACTGGTAATCTTCTTTCCTCTACTTCAGAATCAGAACTTTCAAATGAACGTGATCTTGACCTTTTGTCATCAGGGGTTCTATCCCTGTATCTCCTCCCTTTGGATCGTGACCGGCTTCTGTGGGTTGGTCTCCTGTAATCACTCAGAGGAGTACTTGATCTCAGTCTTTTCCTTCTCCTCTGTGTATCACCACTGTCCCGAAAGCTAGAGCTTTCACTGTCACTATACCTGGTGTCATTCTCACTTGAACTTGAAGTTCCAGTTGTATAGTCTCGTCTGTGACTGTCTTCACTAGATGTGGACCTTTCTTCTCGTTCTCTTCTGTGTCCATCTTCACTCTCACTTGAGCTAGATGTTTCAAGTCTCGTCTTTCGTTCTCCAGGATACCGTTTGTGTCTTTCACTGGAGCAAGAACTTGCAATGCTATTCTTTTGTTTTCCAGAATATCTTTCTTGCCTTTCATTTGAGCTGGATGACTCTTCTGGTTTCACTCGGTCTCCAAGACATTTGTCATCTCCTGAGCTGGAACTTTCAGCTCTTTTCTTTCGATATTGTCGAGTTCTGTTTTTTCTCTCTACTGAACTGCAACTTTCCACTGTTTTCTCTTTTCTAGAACAATATTCATCTTCATTTACACTTGAGCTGGAACTTCCAACTGTTTGTGCTCTGTCATCATGATGTTTGGCTTGTGAGTCTAAACTGTCAAACATGTTCTCTCTTATTGCAAGCTTGCATTCTCTCTCTTTGGGACAGGAACCTACTATTATTTCATGGCTTTCAAGATATTTTTCCTCCACCTCTTGAGAGTCAAAACTGTCCTTTGTCTCACGATTTCCATGATATCTCTCTTTTCTGTCTCTTGAGCTGAAATTTTCATCTGTATTCTCTCGTTCTTCATATGTATCTTCTTTCTCTCTTGGGGTAACACTGACGTCTATGTTTTCTTGCTGTACCAATTGTCTTGAGCTGGAGGTTGCTATAACCTTCTCTCGTTGTCTGCATGTGTCTGACCCCTCTCTTGAAGTTGGTCTATTTTGTGAAGCAGCTCTGTGTTGAATGTCACAATCAGACTTATCTGGGGAACTAGACGTGGCTGGAGTCCTTTGTTCAATCCATTTGCCTAATAAACTTGCTTCTCTTTCTTTACTGGAATATTCTGTCCTATAAGAAACCTTTTGTCTTTGCCTTGGTCTATCTCTTGTATGTCCAAAGCAACTTTCTTCGGACAAAGAACGCCCAAGTTGTTGAACCCATTCTCGGTCTCTTTCCAATGAACTTGGCCTTCTATGGCATGCATGAGCATCTCTCCTTGATATGTGTCCTTGTATCGATATGTCACTGTCTCTAGGCAGAAGTGCTCTCCGATCAGGGCTGTACCTCTCATAGGATCTGTTTAACATTTCAATACAGTGTCCATGGCGACTTCTTGATGGTCTTTCTATACTTTTCTCTCGGCCTTCCACCAAATGTGTTCTCCTGCCTCCAGCTTCCACACGTACATTGGATGAATTGTTCCTGTTGTCATCACTTTCTTCAGAAGAAATGTCACTCAGTTCGAGATCAATTCCTTTGTTGTTCTCAGGCTGTGTCTTGTCTGAATCGCCATTACTTTTCTCATGTGTGGCAGTTTCCTTCCTCACATCGTGGATTATTTTGGGTGAGACTTGAATCTTGTGCCGATGTCTTCCCAATTCTGTCCTTCCCGACTTGGTTTGATGATCACCTATTCTAGTGTCCAGTACATCACCTCTCCGGGTTCCCTGGAGTCTTCTTTGTATCAGAATCAACTGCAGGAATTCCTTCTTCAGGAATCCAACTTGCTCGTTGTTTTCTTCCTTTATCTACATGGCGACTCCTGTCTCTTGAATCATCTCGTATCTCAGATATTCTTGAGCTTCCATATGTTCGTTCCCTCCCTCCAAAGTCTGGACGAAATACCTTTCCCCTGGATCTGGAACCAGATGAACTTTCTCTGACAGTATTTCCATAGGTACCTCTTCCCTTGAATCCACTTCCTCTGCTGTCCTGGGTATGTCCCTGAAATGCTCTGTTAAAGACTGGCCTTCTTGCAGTCCTTCCTAAACAATCAGGATCACTTAAGGACTGCCTCTTCATTCTTTCATTCAACACATTGATTTCACTGTTCCCTGTACTGAACCGACTATCATGTGGCTTTGAATACACCGTTCTTTGAACAGAATCATGGTCATCCATACTCAACAAAACGGAAAACTGTTCTACTTGGTTATTAAACGTGGCAGTCAAATCATCCTCTTCTTCATTTCTGTCATAATTTCTTCTTCTCCAAACACTGTCCTGGTCATATCTCCTATCCAATGTTTCTCTGTGAAACCCTCTGAAAGGAGCTCTTCCTCTGTACATTCCTCTCACTCCACTCCTCAAGGAGCCTCTGCCTCGGAGAGGACGGAAGCCTCTCTTACCACCACCACCACCATCTCCTCCTCCTCTCCCTCTCTCCATGGCCCAGGATCTACTCTAGGTGCATCCACAAGCTTAGGTTTGAGCATACAGTGAAGCACATGGTACAACAGCAATTTCCCGACCCAGTTTGTTAAGCAGGTATTAGCAGATGGATATGTCAGGGGTCACAGGCAGAATTCCTTACCAAGAAACAAAACTTCTTCCTCTTCTGAGTCACTGTGAGGTGTCTGCTTGCTTGGACTGGCTACTGAATTGGTTTCTGTAAGTATAGCATGCAGAGCATTCACTGTTAAAACATGGCAGTGCTTTAGAGTATAGTGGTTAGGGCTGATTGCGATGTCTATTACCGTATATCACTGTAGATAGGCCATATTTTGAGGACCAAAAACAGCAGTCCGTAGAAGGGGGTTGTTTTACCTACAGGTTCCCTTTCATCAAACTTTTATTTCTGTTGGTAAGAAAAATGACATCATACTGCTTCGCTTGAACGAACAAGAGAAAACAACATTGTCAGTGAAGATGTCAAAATTTGCAATTAAACATCACGAGACAAGATTATTTACCTTTTCAGTTGTAATTTGTTTTTGCTCAGCATTGTATTATATGCAGGAATTAAGATTAACATGTGTATTTGTCTCACATACAGAGCCAGAAATAGCAATCAGCTGTGCACAAGTTTCCCCACAACCTACCGGTGATTATAAATTACAACATGATCAATTCTGATGTAGTGATCGGAAAGATATAGTATCTGAAACTATTATTTTACCAAGAAAAGTATATTCTCGCATTGTGTCATTTTAAATGCAGGTTTTGCTCTAAAGATGTAAAATATCTATGATCATAACTAAGGTTGTGGGACAGCACTTTGATATATTGCCAGATACTTTTTATGGATGGAACAATTTGACCTGTCACCAATGTGGTTTCGCGCGATCTCGCTATTTCCCGCTAAAACAGTTTGTTGACATGGGACCATTTAGCGAAACAAAATATGTACATATGTATCCATTTTCTGTCTACTACACTTCATTTCAAGGCATTAGTAGACGCAATATGATTGTGATTGCTGTGAATAATGCGGACTGAAGTTATAAGTTTCAGAGGGACACACGATATCACCCCAGTTATTAACACAAATATTCTTGAATGAAATTTTGAGTAAAATTAATAAACTGGATTGCAAACAAAAGTTCAGATATGCTAAGAACATGTTTTATTGCGCGATCGTGTAACAACAGGATCTCCTTATGTAATCCAATACAAATTTGTTGGTATTCTATTTCCGATGACTGCTCACGACGAAAAGATATGGTTGGTGTGCGGCTTATGTACGGACATACAATTTTGATACTGATTTTAAGGGTCAAGTCAGGACCTCAGCTTATTTATGACATCGGCTTATCTATGGTGACATACGGCAAATGTCTAGTGCTGATCGTGAATGTCTAGTTCTTAGTCTAGTGCACATCATAGGGTGAAACGGTATACCACGGTATTTTGCCTTTGGTTCGGTATATCGTAATGAAATAAAAATAATTGGTATTTTCGGTTTTCGTACCGTCATTTTATTAACCCTTTTAATCCTTTTCTCAAATGTGTAGAAATCGAATCATTTTGTTGAAATCTATGCATTTTTGCTAGATGTCATTTTCTGTCATTTATCATATACCAAACCAAAACGAACCGAAGGCCTTGTACCACAATACGTTTGGTGCCGTTGTAAGAGCATACCGTTCCACCCTAGCACATCATATATGTCTTGAGCTTTATCAGCTGCAGATGATGAATGTCTAATAAGAAAGTGAGTGAGTTGCTTTTGCTTCACGCCCCTTTGACCAGCATTTTAGATATATCAAAGTGATGTGGGACGAAAGCCTCAAGCAAGTCTTACACATTTACCAATTTGGTGAGTGAGTGAGTATGGTTTTACAATATTCCAGCAACATTCCAGCAACATCACGGGAACACCAGAAATGGGCTTTACACATTGTACCCATGGGGGAATCAATCCTGGGCCTTTGGCATGACGAGCGAACACTTTAGGCACTAGGCACCGCCCCTACCAGTTTGGTGAAACTCACCAGCACACGTATGGTGCTGATAACTCTAGAAACATAATGTGGACTGACAGGTATTTAAAACCATGATCACAGGTGGCATGCCAAAGGGATTCGACTCTGCACAGCACATAATGGCACGTTTGATGACTGGACCACCTGAATGTCCAGACTTCTCGGTCTACTGCATGTATTGCTGCAGAACTGTCCGAGTCTATTAAGTGAGTGGATGTTGTTTAATGATGAGGCTGGCAATATTCCGGCTATACCATGGCAGTCTGTACCACTGGCCACTAGTCCAAAGCCCCCAAACTAGTAAAATGATGATGCTACATAGTCTGCTAAACTATTCCCACATGTCAAAACAGGTGACTGGGTTAATCTTGTGTGTGTGATTGTACATAGGACTGACTGTCTGACTGAGTTTAGTTTTCGCCGCTTTAGCAATACTCCAGTGACAGCTGGGATTGAGAAATGGACTTCACACATTGTGCCCATGTGGGGATTCAACCGGGTCTTCGCGCGTGACGAATTAACGCTTTAACCACTAGGCTACCCCCGATTGTACATAGGAACCAGTGACAGCTGGGATTGAGACATTGTTGTGTGTGCTTGCGAAGCTTGAAGAATAAAGAAACAAAGTAATAGTATTTACGATGGTTTGTTCTTTAGATAGGCTAACAGCAGTCCATTTGTAACACTAAAATCTACATCAAATCTTACTAACATCCAACCTTAGATAAGTTGCCACAAATGTTTTTGACACAGACGATGTCACGATGATCCTGATACTATTCAACATTGGATCTGGGAAAACAGTGATCAACACAAAACATCAACTGGTGTTTTATAGCAACTGATATTGTTTGACAGTAAAACTTGGCATTTCGCTTAAAATAACTGTTTCAAAACCTATTTTTAAGTACAACACCAACTGTATTTGAATTCCTTGTACATACTATTTATATTTTCTGCAAATAAAATTTAGAGTATCATTGTCTTGATCTCAATGAAAACAAACAGAAGAACAACATACAGACGTAAGCATGACCGACATATTTTCAAATTATCTGATACACCTTTGTTATAACAGTTCTCTTTACATACATATATATGTATATATTCCACACTTTAAGTCACAGTCATGTCTTGTGGTGGAGTGATGCTCAAGACCGTGACCAATCAATAGCAGAATGGGGCTATGGAAGTTACTTTTACTTGGCAATAGTACCCCAAGCTACTACAGTGTGACTGTAATAATCATCACTACTGCAAAAATATTAAACCAACTTTAATTCTTGATAATTATATTAATCCATGCCATAGAAATAAATCAAGTATTGCTGATAATGTCAAAGTCATCCATATTCCTCATGTCACAAATGAAACCAAAGGGAAGTAACTCCACAGGAACTGTTGTAATACTTGCCAAGATTTGAAATTTGAAATTTCCGATAATGTATTTCATTTACACATGATACTGACTACTGAAATTGTTGACTGCTATGCATACTATTGACAATACAAACTGGTTGTTTACAATCCTACTGACATTGTGGAAGAGGAGGACAAACAAGTGCCCGACACAGTTTGATATCCCGCCGGAGACTGTCAACAACAAAGTAATAAATATGTGTTATGAATTGTTTATTTTGTTATCTTTGAAACTCTTCAATAAAGCATTTGGGTCCAAACTGAAATAAGATGCATCCACTCTAATCTGTCAACAGTTTAACAAGTAATAAAATTGAATATGAATTCCTTGTGGCATAACACGTGACTGTCTGATGACAAAATGTCAGTACAGTGGAATAGAAACTCCACTGAATTAATTCTGTGCATATGATGTCTAGCCGGGAATTGTTTTGGCAACTGTTGCCATACAATATATTAAGTCACACCCATCAAGTGACTGTCTCTCCTCAAAGGATAAAAGCAGAATGGGCTGGGTTGGTATAAGTTAGTTCAGCTAATTATCAAATAAGCAGTCTGTGCAAGCATTATTGTTGATATATTTATTTATAAGACTCGAGTGAGTGAGTGAGTGAGTGAGTGAATGAGTGAGTGAAGGTGTATTGTATTACTTAATTTATCATTGGTATGACAAGGCCTCATATAGAAGTTCAAATTAGGTCAGCAATAAGTACTACTCTTGCCTAAATTAGACATTTATGTAAAGTCCTCATGAACCTAAATATATTTAATGCAGAAAAACAAGGCAGAAGGTGAGATGTCTGAATGCATCCCTTTCTTCATTGGTTCATTATTACAATACACTCACCTGAAATACCCCCAGCCTTAAAGAACTTCGTTATGCACTGCAATCTGGAAGAAAAATATGTCACGTGAAAGGTGGGTAGGTGAAAATGTGAGAAAAAAAACTGAATATGCAAACAGATTAGTGAGTGTTTTGACATTGGGCCCAGTTTATTTGCAGTTTCAATATATGGACATGGAGGAGTCTGCAACTTTAGCTGCTAGTCTGAAGCCCGTGTCAAGCGAAATTGTGTATGGTCCAATTAGTTCAGATAGGCCATATATAGTGATGCTAAATTCTACTGAAATCATACTAAGGGCCAAGTTTCTATATAGAACAAACTTTATGGATAACAACTTCTTTTTATTCGTGAGTGCGACGTTTCGATACAGATTCTTGTACCATTGTCATGCCTGACAACGGTACAAGAATCTGTATCGAAACGTCGCACTCACGAATAAAAAGAAGTTGTTATCCATAAAGTTTGTTCTATATTGTACTTCCCAACTTCTAAAATGCCACTCAAAGAAGTTAGCCAAGTTTCTGCAAGTAATCTCGGATGCAGTGTGTCCATGTGTCAATGACTGGAGAAATGCCTAGTTTCCCTCTGTTGTTGTAATCAACTCAAGCAATACCTTTACCATTGTAAGAAACTGATTCCCCACTGCAGCCTTTCCATCTCTAATCCAAGGGAAATTACTGATATTCTGGCCTGATCTAGATTTTACTCGTGTTTCAATCATTAAAACCAATTCAACTATCATGAATTACTGCTCAGATTCCTGGTGAAACAATACAGCAATGTCACAATACAATACGTATCACAATACATAGTCACAACACGACATCTATCGTGACACACAATACAATACGTATCACAATACATAGTCACAACACGACATCTATCGTGACACACAATACAATACGTATCACAATACATAGTCACAACACGACATCTATCGTGACACACAATACAATACGTATCACAATACATAGTCACAACACGACATCTATCGTGACACACAATACAACACGTGATCACAATACATAGTCACAACACTTACATCTATCGTGACACACAATACAATACGTATCACAATACATAGTCACAACACGACATCTATCGTGACACACAATACAATACGTATCACAATACATAGTCACAACACGACATCTATCGTGACACACAATACAATATGTATCACAATACATAGTCACAACACGACATCTATCGTGACACACAATACAACACGTATCACAATACATAGTCACAACACGACATCTATCGTGACACACAATACAATACGTATCACAATACATAGTCACAACACGACATCTATCGTGACACACAATACAATACGTATCACAATACATAGTCACAACATCGACATCTATCGTGGACACACAATACCATACGTATCACAATACATAGTCACAACACGACATCTATTGTGACACACAATACAATACGTGTATCACAATACATAGTCACAACACGACATCTATCGTGACACACAATACAATACCTATCACAATACATAGTCACAACACGACATCTATCGTGACACACAATACAATACGTATCACAATACATAGTCACAACACGACATCTATCAAGAGACACACAATACAATACGTATCACAATACATAGTCACAACACGACATCTATCGTGACACACAATACAATACGTATCACAATACATAGTCACAACACGACATCTATCGTGACACACAATACAATACCTATCACAATACATATCACGTATCACATAACTTGCAAAGCTAATCACATTTTTCAATATTTGATTGAAAAAACACAACAGTATCAATTTTGTGGCATGGAAACTCATGATGAAGTGGTACATCAGTTCACTCATAGCATTCTGTATGTATGTGAAGTTTGTTTATTTCAAGAAGATTTTTGGGTACAACTTTCCAACTTTGATCTGAATCCTTAAGTGCCATTGAAACTGATCCCTCGTCGATGGGAAGAAACACCAATCTTCCTGATAACACTGGAGTTTGGGAAACATACAAGAGAGTAATGTTAATAACTGTCAACTATAGTGATGGTCCAATTAATTGAAATAATCGAAGATTGGTCGCAGTGACTAAACGACCAAGCAATCGATCATGTTTTCTAATAATCGAACACAAACAATTCTAGAACACTTGTTTTCATTAACAGTATTTTTCACTAGGTTGGTTTTGTCTGTTACATTTCATAAGCACTACAAGCTCGTTCCAAGTCATGATTGAATTTATCTTAAAGACTCTAAGAAATTTATGTTCCTCCATACTAGTCATCCTTTAAAGATGTGAAATTTTGCCCAAAAAAACCCCCAAAGAACTACATGTTTTTTCCTTATTTTTGTGCATTAACACACTTCATGAATGACGCTAACCAATTATTTTCGATGATTGATCGGTTGTAATGAACCAATCATCAATTATGAGATTTTAACCAACACTAGTCAACTACACACTCCTTACCATGTCCCTAAGATGTTCAAGAACATATTCAACACATGTTCATCTTTTGAACAGTCAGCAGCTAAGCCACTAGTCTGAAACCACAGTAAAGTAAACTTTGGTTTGGTCCAGTAACCTAAACTAGAGATAGTCTACAAAATAAAATGAAAATCTACAGAAAACGAGACGTTAATTTTGGGCTAACTGACTCAAGGTTTAGTCCCAGACTGCCATAAGCAGTGTGAGACCAGAGCAAAGTACATCTGCATACATGCCACCATGCAAGTAAACAGAATGAGTAATCAGTAAGAAAATGAAATTTATTCTTTATATATCAAATACTTTGTACAGTGAAACCTTGATTAACAAGACCCTGTCTTCCTGGACACAGGGTTGACTGCCAACAACTGAGGACTGTGTATTTAAAGGGACATAGCTCTTAAACCAGGATTTGTTATGCTGGAAACAGGTGATTTCAGAGGCAACACTGATTTCAGAGGGTCTCACTGTACACACGGTACGTGAATTCTCAAACCACTGACTTTAATTCACTCAGGTTTTAAGTTTAAATGAACTCATGGTCCTACTACTGGAAACATTTTGATCAGGTATATTTTAAAGGTGAAACTATGTCCAGTTCAGATGAATAAACAAGATATCCAGATACAACAGCTACACAAGACTTCAAGTGTCTGAAGTTCTGTGACATAAACAAAGACCTGGGATGTCACTTGGTGATGTTATGTGATGGTATGATCACAAACAAATGTTCATATTGAACCACTGTTTGTCACAACAGACCAGAGAAATATCAGAATATTGTCACAATAAATCTTAAGGTAAATGCCCTCAATATCTTACTACACAACGCTGTTATTGTCATGACCCTTCCCAAACATGTGTCTTATACCTCACCTGGAGACTCATGTTTTGGGGTGATTGTCCCTCGTTTGTCCCTCTGATCCACCAAACCCTTTAATAAATGGCCTGTCCCTCGCTATAAAGGACAATGGACCAGGGATCCAGATAACATTTGGGGGTGTGAGTGTACTTACACATCATATTGCAAGTGGAGGTGTACTAAGAATTTTGAAGGAGTACTGACATGTTTTTGTGTGAGCGAGTTGATGTGGTTTGTCTGGACGATTCATCGATCACTATTTCCAACCATGTATTTGTATTTGAAGACGCGTGAGAAATAACTGGGCGACTGTGTGATGCGAGAAATGTCAGGTCCGACTTGATATAAATAGGAAGTGTAGTTTTTAGCCAATCGAAAAATAGTGACGCATATCGTTGCATGGCAACGCAAGGGATTCCTACTGTCGGAGTTTCCTTATGTGTCAAATCGTGTTTCGCAAAAGAAACTTAACAAGAAGTATTTATCCGAAATAGATTTCCATTTGCACGATACGCACGGAAATTAAATGCTAGACGTACAAAGGTATTTATGTGCATACACGATACGCTTGAAATCTTATATTATGTCGTACTTAATTGATTTTGAGGTGTACATTACGCCTGTACGCCCCTTATCTGTAGCCCTGATGGACACATAATGAATAAAAACAGAAGAAAAGAAGTACAGCATTATCTGGTCCATTTAACAGCGGTCCGTTTTGATGATACCCCTTAAGCCACATCATCTGGCTATACAGTATTACCATTTAACAGTATATCAGTATATCGCAATGCACCTTTCAAACAATACACATGGCAATATATTTTCTATGTACAGGTACATTTGGGGAAAACATTTTAACATTAACAAGTTTCCTTATTTTCTCTATAGTTTAAGCTAGATCTGCACAAAAATTCACACACAAATGATGTTTCTCAAGTTGGGCTATTCATGACAACCAAATGCCTGACCATGCTGACTTTATAATTCTTCTAATGCTAATCTTTTTTAACTATTATGTGATTTGACTTTTATCCATCATTTTCTCGATCACAGGAGTCCCCATTGTAATAACACTCACATAAATACACTTATCATCTGTGTTATTAAACATTTCGATGGCTGCACGCAGCACTGCGAGAATTGCTATGCTGAATTATTCTACTGTGTGCAGTGCATTGAGTTTACAAACTTCTACCATGTATAGACTGCTCTGCTTCAATGAACATCACTGATTGTTGTGAGTGAAATGATGACAAACTAACAACATTCATGTTGGATGCTACTTTGTGCTGATGGACAAAAATGAAACAGAGAAACAGTCCCCACCAGTCAGTGTTCGAAATAGTCACTGGCCCGCTAGCCTGTGGCTCGTAAAAATCCAGTTGGGCCAGTAAATCTCCACAGTCACTGGCACGACAGGCTAGTAAATTTTCATGGGATCATTTTGTAAATATATCACTCTCTCCACCTTGTTAAGTTATTATACACTTTTAAATCATGCAAGATTATGGCCTGATACAAATGTACATCATATTAGCAGCTTAATTATGAAGCCCGTGTCTACATTCAAATTTCGGGCCAGTGAATTATTTTGGGGGCTAGTAACTTTCAGGCATAGTTAGCCCAACTGGCAAAATTTTGAAACTATTTCGCACACTGCTAGTGACATTCTTTTTGTGAAAATTAGATGCCTGACAAAATATACAAATATATAACAAAAATGGAGTTCTTCTGTGAATTCAAGCTTAAAGACGGAGTACCGTACAAATGAAGACATTCACCTGTCACTTGTTTCTTGCAAATATCTTCCCAGAACATACAGGACATGTCAAGTTAGGATGCATCACATGAACTTACAGTGACACAGGGCAGAGCAATCAGTTCTACATACTAGAAAATGTTGAAAAAGAAAGAATGAAGTCCTTCCTATCTGACCTTGTTTTGAGATTGCTGCTATCAGAAAACACATATTGCAATGAGACCACCTGTACCTGCCCAGATCAATAAAAGAGTCAATGAACTTGACAGAAAACTTAAGAACTTAATTTACTTGCATCTTAAAATACCACTGTCCCAGCATACAACTATATTCCGACATTGTTGAAAATATGTTTATCATCTTTAGATATGAATTACAGAACATTACAGGAAGCCAGTGTTCAAGACAACATTAAAACTGTTAACAGTCTACAGCCATCACTAGCATATGATTATTGAGTGGTTGGATAGTTTATTTGTTGTAAAGGTATTCATGTTTATTATTTACAAACAAAACCCGGAGCCCCTGACTACAAGTATGTTTTTCCACAGCTTTTATCAAGACCCAGAATATGTCCACATCTTACAAATATATTAAACAGCCATTATAACTGAAATGATTAACTCTAAATATTCTAAACGTTGTCAGTTAACCTGTTTAATAAAAAGCACAAAATCACTTAAATAGATCCAGTAAAAGCTGTTTACAATAAGCAATAAAGAAGATAATGTATAGATCAGCATTTTTTGAATGGCAAAATGTTATCTTGGAAAGACAGAAACAGCCAGGACAGAAACAACCAAGAAAGTCTATGAACCCAACCAGTAATGACATAAAGCAATATCCAGTAAAATGTTAAATGCTACTAGTATTAGACACCTTTAATATAACTAGTCCACATTATCAAGTTGTTTTCACTGACAGGGTCATTGGAACACTATACAGATAAGTACCACAGTCATGTTTCAGCATACACCAGTGTACCCTGGAATACAGATCAGTACCCGGTAACCAAGACAAGTCCACACTACTTGACAGGATATCAAAACCAGTTCATGTTGTAGTTTCAGCCAGCCTGATTAACAGTGCATGGTTGCAAATGATGTTCATTCTGTGATATGATTGTCTTTACATAAAGCACCCTATCATACAACAGTATAACAGTTCCTTTTCAATTTGAATTGGATTTTTTTTGTTTTTATCAAAATAATGTTTACAGAGACTAATTATTTATAGTCTATAACAAAACCCTACAACAATGGTTTCTAACTGTGAAATGAAATCAGAAAGGCAAGTCACATAAATGAAAATAATGAAAAAGTTGACTATCCATAGAACTTGGTTTTCCTTCATCTTTACAACTTCTAAAATGCCTCTCAAAGAAGTCATATAGCAGGCCACATACATTCTGAGCTAAGTATAAACATGCCCAGTCTAAAATTAATGGCAAGATGCTCCATCACGGACAATGGACAATTTATTTTATCATGACAACTTCTTTATTATTCAATATAGATCCTTATTTGTTTGGCCAGCTGACAGAACAGAATAAATGAAGTAAGTTGTCATCCATGAAGAATATTGCCTTTATAATGTATATTGTCTACTCAACAGTTTTTAAATAGTCAGACAAACAGCAGTGTAGTATATAGTTGTTTTACATTCGACCCACTCCTCCGTTATTTCATTTGATAGTTCGATGACGACTACCGTGTTCTTCTAAACATTTTTAAATTTAGTATGGATCAGCTGATTTGTTTGCAGCTGGGTGGAACATTATTATCTTCAGCAGTCAATAATACTCATAACACCTAGTCACCAGTTTCTAAGGCAGATATAAAGTCTGTACCGTGATGACGATTTCCGCTTCATATTCGTCTTTCAGAAAATATGCAGTTGAGATTAGCTGTGGCATGATACTGACGATAGTCTCAGGACGCTGCTTCCTGGACGAACCCCTGCTCTCCCGCCATTTTGTTATTCTATCAAACACCGTTTTGCATCCTTTCTTTTCTCGGCGTACAGCAGACTTTGCAAAATTCATCGGAAAATACCGAGATGTTCTGAATGTCATTTTCGAAGGACGGTAACTCTAAGCTCATTGGTGGGACATATTCAAAGAAGCGACATAAAATACATGCGAAATACATATTGGAGACGTTCGGAGATGATGGTTTTGTTTTTGGTCCAAGTTAAATTTGATACCATCCTATGCTACATTTAAGTGTAGCAGAACTGAACACAAGGTGCCCCACAAATGGCGATATCACGACCATCTGTTCCTTAGATTCATGTAGATCGATGGTCATGCTGCTCATGACTCGATTATCTACAGACCGCCGCCATACAGCTGGAATATTGCTGAGTGCGGCGTGAAACGACAACAAACAAAGCATAGAATAGTAGTAGTAGTCTTGGTAGTAGTAATAGTAGTAGTAGTAGTAGTAATAATAGTAGTAGTAGTAATATGTTTGATTGGCATTTTAGAAGTTGATGGATAATAGAAAAGTATAATACTTTATGGATAAAAACTTCTTTATTGATATGATGCGACGTTTTGGTATAGCTTCTTATACCGTTGTCAAACAAGAGTAAAGTAATACAGCACAGAACCGACTTATATACATGTAACAGGGATTAAGTAAGACAACATGAGGGACTAGTAGTAGTAGTAGTAGTAGTAGTAGTAGTAGTAGTAGTAGTAGTAGTAGTAACAGGAGGAGGAGGAGTACGTATAGTAGAAGGGATAAGTTATATAACGTACATTATCCCGTCTATATTTACTATACTACATGTACTATATGTATAGTCTCCCTGGTAGTAGTGGTAGCAGCAACAGCACCAACTATTTTAATATGGCAAAGTGTGCAAGTCAGTGTTTAAGACAGAAACGTAAACAGTATACACTTTTTAAATTACTTTTCATGCGTGTGTCAGTCACAACCCATACCGGGTGGGCATGTTCGGACACTATAGAAGTACGGGTACAGGTACGGTAGACGGGTACAGGTTGCTCGGACATGGTGGTAGTGTACAAACAATAAGTGTTGTCTCTGTCGCCTCGAACACAATCACAGTTTTGTCCTTGAGTGTCAATGTAATGTGAGATGAAACAGTGAGGTCACACTGGTAGCAATTTTTTACAAAGTAGTTTTGACAGATCGAAATTTATCACAGAGGCGAATTTAACATTTGGAACCTCGTCTCGCAGACAATGGTGACTACACAACAAACTCTCAGCGGCCAACGCTGGCAATAACTGGATCACGATCTCTCCAGGAAAAACGATACTTACACACCTAGTGTAAGATCTCTCCCCTGTCCACATATACATCCAATCTTCTTACCCTGGTTAAACAGTCTGCATACATGGGGCGTTATTAACAGAGCAGTGTGCACGTGTTGATAAACGATTTATACCACGTTTAGACGTTTTGATAAACCATATTTTGGTTTTGTTCATCACTTATTGAGTGATAATATATCCAATCAATTAAATCACTTATTTATCAGATTTACTACAGATAACAGTACTAAAGAACAGAGGAAAATTAGTCTCTTGTACCCCGTCCTTGTTTTCATTACAACAGATCATGAGGAAGGCTTGGAGTATTTCATGGTTCAGAGGCTGCTTCAGAACCAGGATGTTCGTTCAACAAATACTTGACATATATCTAAAATGCACATGTAGCAGTGTATGAAATAAGCCAAAACTCCAGCCAGCCATCATGGCGGGTAACTTCAAAATGTTACCATCCAAAAATGGATTTAACCAGACCAAATATGGTGAATTTACTCAGATGTATGGAACATCTAAAATTTTTACCAGACCATCGGGCTGGCTAGCTGTAAATTTAGACCGTCCGTCAGAAATCTAGACCGTCTTGTAGGGCCTTATTTCATACACTGCATATAGTCAGAGTTCGAAATTAAGGTCGGTCCTTAGGCCCGAAGCCAACTGAAAACCACTCGGAAGCACAGCTTTTGTTTTCAGCAGATCTTTATGGCCTTGTTTGCTGGGAATTGCATATATTGTAGCTAAAATATTGGGCCTACACATTCTGATCTGGACCCACAACTTTTTTATGGTTCTGGATCCTTAGGGCCTGCAGGTTTTCAGGGTTAAGGGCAAACACAGCATGTAGTCTTTCTGACCGGTGCCATTATTTGAGAAAGTGATAATAATTTGCGTTGTATTTTACACAAAATGTTTGCTATAGTTTACAAAACATGCGTTGTATAGAAGACATATGTCGCCCCTCTAGAAATATAATTTAGGAGGGACCAGGGACTGGCGCCACAGAAAGGGGTAATTGGACTTTGAAATGGGGTGAATTTTTTATCGCAACTCAACACGTGTTTGGTGAATGCAGTAAGTAAACGCTAAGGTAGTCATGAAACAACGGAGGGGAAGGGGCGGTGGTGGTGAAAACCTACAATGGTCTTATCAGAAATCATGAATATTCATGAGTGGGTGGAGCTCCTTACGTCACATACACGGCACAGTATCTTCCGCGGAACTAGTAGTGGGAGTTGACCAACGCTTCTTCGTCTGTTATTGCCTTTTTTGTTATGTTGTAGGGAAAAATGCACTCTCATTACACGCTATTCAACTTTACACGCCTCAGCAGAAGTATAGACACTTCCGTGTTCAAGAGAGAAGTAGTGCGTACGAAACACGTATGACGTGGTCACATAAGCTCCGCCCACTCATGTTTATTTATGATTACTGTGCACCCTAGACCATTGTAGGTTTAAGGGTGGACACAATTTCACTCTCGTGGACACAATTTCAATTATATTAATTATATTTTTCGACTTTTACGTTTTCTGAGTTGTATTTTCAAAAAAATAGAAAATAAATAGGACTGGTAGGATTTCGGATTTGATGCAATAAATTTACGCAATATCACCCAAAAGCAAGCTGTTTCAATTCCGGGTACTGAGAGCTATTTAGATGACGGATATCATTTCAGTCGAAAATGCCAAGATAACTACAAAAGATGAAATACATTCCTTTGAGTGAGTGAGTGAGTTAAGATTTACGTCGCTTTTAACAACATTCCAGCTATATCACAGCGGGGGACACCAGAAATGAGCTTCACACATTGTACTCATGTGGGGAATCGAAGCCGGGTCTTCGGCGTGACGAGCGAACGCTTTAACCACTAGGCTACCCCACCGCCCCACATTCCTTTGAAGTATAAATTATTTATTCATACATTTTAAAATGTAATAATATGATTTTGTTAAAATGAAAACATTATGAAGTTCAGAACAGCATATATGTACATTAAGGTGCTTCATACATCTGTACAATGTCTGTTTACATTTTATCATTGTCTCAATTTCGAATGTTTACATTTAACATGTATAATATTTGTAACTTATATGTTGTTATATAAAGATAATTTATATATTTGTTCGTTATTATTGTCCTTATTACAACAGCACCAGTGAATCTAAATCCACAACATGCTAATCACCAAACTTGCAGCCGGTTGCAGTGCTTCGTGTTGATTGGTTGAAAATCAAGTGGGCGGAGCAAAATCTGTGCACCATGTCGAACTCAACAAGAGTTACTATTGCGTCATCATATTGCCTTCGCTAGTTCTTATTTCCTGACAGAGTGACGCTTGTTTATGTGAAGTATTTAAAATATCACTCCGTTTTAGGACAGAGGGACATTTCAACTGGAGTTCTGATAACAAGATCGAGGAAAAAAACGGCTCGACTCAGATTGAACCAGCTGTCTCCTCTCATTCACAGCTTGACACAATAACATTGCACACGTGGCTTTCAGCGGGAATATCAACCACCCATACGTGTCATTGTGGCGGATTTTGACGGACATGGCTCATCGGCTATTTTCTCAAGGCGTTTTGTGGTGATTCTGAGTGACCGCTTAGAGTTCAGCGCACGGTCAGATGGATATTTGAGTAGTGATCGGGGCATATCCTGGCTTTGTGCGCACTTGGCCTACATACCACGTTTCTCTCGCGACAAGCCAGTTCCGTTTCCTTAGTAACGAAGTAAAACTATTCTGGGTCAGTGTTATTCATTGAGCACAACAGATCAATATGGCCAAAGGAAACGTTGACTTCACACCGGAAGGAGATATTGACAAATCTAAAGGTAAGGACATATTTAGACCTAGACAGTGTTGAAATTTCCTTCAGAAACTCCTAATCTTGACCCGAATATTTATCAGATGCCCCCCGACGATCCATTCTTTTTAAATTTCTATATGAATTATTTAAATCTTTCTTGCATTTTTGTTCTGGCTTCAAACTGGGTAATTCGGATTTGTTTTGTGTTGTGTAAATTAATTTAATCATTGTCGATCACTATGGGAAAAATTACCATTTCCAACAGATGTAAATACTCTTCTATATGTCTATTTGATAGCGGTAAATTCATCGTCGTCTTCAGAAACACTAATCGCTAGCTCGTAGTAGAACCTGCTATTGATGCGGATGTCCATGTTTATCACGTGGTTACTGCTAGGCCTACGAGCATCGACCCCCCTTATTCAGCCAAGGGTCATTTGATTCTATGATGTCGTGTCTTGGAGCAGTATCTAACTTGGATCTAACTTGGATCTAAATACAGGAACTCGTATTTATATTGACCCACTTCTTTCATTCTTTTATTTGCGGGTAAGGGACAGCTAGGCGACGTCTAAAGCTTTGAATGTCTGTGTAGATATCAGCACAGGGCCATGTATAATCTAACATTCTGTAACGGGAAACTTGGAGACATATTCGTAATCCAAATAAACATACGGCTAAATACACATACCGAAAATAGATAAAGTCGTGAATGATAAAAAACAATTTATCGTCCCGGGATTGGTCAACCTGTGCTCCGTGCGTACAGCTACGAATTAATCCAGTAGTTATATTAGATCATCCACTACTGTATTGTAACAGCCACTTATATCTGAGTTTGATGTAGAAGATGAAATTATGGATAATCATGAAAAACACCCTTTCTTTGTCAACAACACGTTGTCCTCGTTTTTGGTGAGTGACGCTCGTCAGTTGTCGGATGTGTTGATAACAGTGGAGGCTTATAGCTATCGCAGGAATGATTTAGGTCCACATGGCCCTCAGTCCGCCATATACATGTGCTCGAACCAGTCTACCCATAGACACGATCGCATGGTTATTATGATTATTAAACAAGGAACTGTTAAGGGCCATTTACCGACACGACAGGTACAACTGTACACTGCCCACAAATGGGCCAGGTGTATTCCTTCAGGTGCGAAAGAACTTAATTTTCTTACCAGGTTATCGTATCGTAAAATACCAGTCTAAGTAAAACTTTAGTCTCAGTACTGACACGACAGTTGCATTCCTCTACTCAGTATAGTAGGGTAACGAATAATGCTGAAAGAACTAAGTTTACTTACCAGGTTAAAATATCGTAACGGAATGTTTTAATGTAGTATGACGCCATTACTGTTGTCTTCTCTGACGTCCGCCAGGGAGCGTTAAGATTGTTTACAAATCTGCAGCCACAATCTTAGCGGGGAACGCACATAGCTGAAAATAACTGAACTTACTGGAAATGAATATTGCAGTTGTGTGTCTTCACTTATCTTACAGTCACTCCTCATTAACGGCTAGACTGACTGTACGCCCGTTCTCACTAATGAGGTGCAAATGGGTAAGCGTCGTAAGTCAAAAATCAAATACACAAAATCTATGCAAAAACATTTTATTTAGAAAGTTTGGTATATGGTCTATTACATATAACTTTTTCAGCCACACAATTTTACAAATATCCATACAGCTGTTATCTAAATGTGGCACCTTGAGCTATAAAATATTATTACCTGATACGTACGTGACTAGTTTTTCTGACTAGAGAATTAAGTGACAATGTGATAAACTATTTGAGTAACCTATCAAATATTCCGCATGAGTTTGGCGATTTAGTAACACACATGTCTGCTCAAAAACTTTAGAAGTACTTTGACATACACATTGTAAATCATTATTACTCAGATTGTTTTTTCAAAAATACCAACAAATTGCAAAAACATTCTAAAATCAAAATCTGATACTTAGATTAGCGGACAATCTGAGGGAGTAGTAGACCAAAAAATGAGTAGCAAAATATTTGATCGATAGCCAGTTGCAACAACATAAAACTCATGAAAATTACAAGTCACTTTTGGCAGTACAAACAGTAACGTATGTAGCCCAACATTCAATTGTTTCAAATAAGATTTTTATTATGAAGAATAATACTTTTTCTTACCTAAAACAACGATTAAAACACATCAGCATCGTTTTATTCAGGATTACAAGATTCTATCGTTTCTTCCTTTACAGTTTTTAGTACTACTTAAAGACAATATCAGGGTGATCAATATTAATCATTATAAATTTGGCAAAAGGAACATAACAAGACTGTATCCTCGATCGTTCTTTCTCAAGCAAGGCGGGTCCTTTTGCTTTGTGAATTTAGCGATATTCTGTCTGAATTTCTGCTCTACGTTTTCCCACTTGAAATAAGAAAAAAATGAGTAACGTATGTATAATACATTTCGATACATACGTTACCCTATAATTATGCTCTTTCACATAACAAAGACCCAGGACTAATCCAAATGTTATTACAAATATATAAACTCTGTCTGATAAGCTACTAAAGTACCTTTCATTTGTACATCAATCCTTCCATCCCTTTAAACAATCAAATATTCATATCAATTTTCATATCATTCAGAGAGGTGACCATCTCTTTCCCAACACATAGCTCATTATGTGAAAATAAAGGGACATTAAATAACACCGATTGCCAGTTTAAGTCTGAATGTTTTAAAAAAAACCAAAGTTTCTGGCTTCAAATGATATGACATTTACGTTTGAAACCTTCAACAAATGTTGTTACCTACGTTACCGTTGATAACGTATGTATCAGTTACTTTAGCCTGCCTTGGTCGGAAACTGGACCACCAAATGATGCCCTTAGCATTGCTTTCCTGTTTGTTATGATGGTAGTTGAAACACACAATGACAATTTGAAAGAATTACACTTTGTAACATGTTTAACGTGACGTCTTTAATTATGTATGGTATCACCTGAATTTTAAACAACATTACCTCAAAAAAACTGATGTGGTTTCTCTCTCAAAATGTGTCTTTTGTTCGATGACTGTCGCCACATGAAGTAGGTATAGCCAAAATCTAATCATATTGTTTCGAACACTTACTTCCGTACTTTCTAGTAACGTATGTAACGGTTACGTATGTATATTTTCAATGGTTTTCATGTTCATTTTTGCAAATCTATACACACTACTGATCGTCATATGAGCTGTTTTACAATGCTAGAAATGTGTGTTGTTGGTATAATGTTTTGCGTGAAGTGTTATAGAAATTGAAGTAATTATTGGCATGATAACGTATGCATTGCTTGATTTCTACGCATCTTGTTTGTGTGCAAAATCAAAATGCGTGATATAAAATCCAATCGGTAGCTTTCACGGATTTCCATTTATGGACTTTACTTAGAAAATGAACATTATTACTATGTAAACGAGAATAATAATGGTGATAGACCGTGCAGCTTTAAACCTACCTTGGTGTAACATATGTGTTATGTTTGGTATTACACTTCACTGAAGCACAGATTCAAGTACTTTCTCTGGTTACCCGTGATTATCCGGGTTAGAATGGGTCTTCAGCAACCCATGCTTGGCGACTAACGGTATTGGGTGGTCAGGCTCGCTGAGATGGTTGAAACATGTCATTGTATCCCAATTGCGTAGATCGATGCTCATGCTGTTGATCACTGGATTGTCTGGTTCAGACTTGATTACTGAGTAACCTTCCGCCATGTCGCTGGAATATTGCTGAGTGCCTCGTTAAACAACAAGCCAACACACGGCAAGCGACGCGACCTTCTTCTAGGTTTTGTTAGACTCAGTATAGCAGTGTTACGAATAATACTGAGCCTAAGTTTACTTAGACCGATGGCAACGGATGAAACAAAGTTTTACTTTGGACTTCCATGAAAGGAGAAACAGAATATGGCGCAGACGGAGTGAGAGTTTTCATGCCGATAACTTTAGACAGAACGATCGTTTTTTGGGGGGTGGCTCGTTAATGATGTGCGGTAAGAACACTGAGAAAGTCACAACATCTTTACATGCCATGTTAAGACGCTTCACTGATAGATGAAAGGCGCCGACAGTACGTTGTCAGACTGTAAAATACACGGTTGTAAAACCTACGTTATTAAGCACAGACAGTGACACTTAAGTTGAAAACTTTTAATAAAATTTGAAACAAAGATATACATGCAATACATCCAGCCATAATCTCGCGCTACAGATCAACACAAGGTATCGTTATATGAACCTGTATAGCTGTAAACCTTATAATGAAATGTATGAAACCCAAGTGACAGAAGAAACAGACAAAGCAGGAATGGTTATTTTTAGTTTCGTATTTTTAGTATCGTATCGTATCGTATTTTTAGTTTCGTATTTTTAGTATCGTATCGTATCGTATTTTTTAGTTTCGTATCACTGGGCTGTGCTTATAATAAGCTGGGCCCCGTCTCGCATTTGAATTAGGCGGGTGTTTTGAAATCGTCATCGGAACTTTAACTGTTCCCATCACTGCCGGTTTATGCCTCATGGGTTTCTCATTATCAAAGCGGAACGATGTATTAAAAGATCATTTCATGTGTTCGTCTTTATATCGTAATCATGGACCTGCCGTCCGGTGGCTTTCACACTGTTGTAGCCCTGATCAAACACCTTTTGGTCAAGACTCATATGGGTAAATCTGTAAGAGAGATTTGACCTTTTGACTATGTGTACATATAATGCACCGCGCAAACACCACAGAGAATGATCAAAGCGCTGCATTATTACCCCGGTCAATTTGTCACTGTGGACTAGAATAGCATTATCAGCTCCCTGGAAGTTTCTTGTTCATATTGTTTTGTTTCCGAATATCCAAAAATTTCTGATATCCGCGTGACAATTTAGCATGGTTATAGCTTTGTGTTGACAGACTGTAGCATGTATAAACCTGTCGTCTGTAAAGGTTTGAGTATCACAATGATGCTGTTGGATAAACGAAGCATATTTATCAACTCTATATGCA